CCCCGCCGGGGAGCAGCTCGGCCGTGCCTTTGGAGAACTGGCCTCTTTGCCCCTCTTTTAACTCCACGGAGACGCTCACGATCTTCACCACAGTAGAAATCACGGATCGCGTTCGTACTAGCTGACCTTCTGAGGTCCCTTCCAAGCCGAAATATCCCGTGACGCTGAGATCTCCCCTGTGCCCCAGCACCCCGTCCACCCCGTCAGGGAAGCCAGGTGTCAGTCCGTGCAGCGCCGAGGCCTGGCTTGTCTTGGCGGGGTGGCACAGAGCAGGGAGGGCAAGCGCTTGGGCTCAGATCATGTACATGGGATAAAAAAAAACATGATGCACTTCTCAGAAAAATGCTTTCCATTCCAGCTGTGAGATTTCGCTGGACGGCTGGAAATATTCCCTTCTGCTACTAACTTCAGTAGCAATATTTGCTGCGTTCACCAGTTCTCATAAGGAAAACCCCTCTTCTCTTTTTCTCCGTTTTTATTAATCATCATCTTAAGCCAGAACTCTGAACAGTAACTGCAAACTGCCACCCCAGAGAGTGGCTGCACAGACCCCTGTGACGGCCAGCGCAGAGAGCTGCAGTACTTCACTGCCTTTCAGGCATGAAGGGGTTTTCTGTTCCCCCGTGGCCTGCAGCCCCCTCTGCCCGGTGTGCACATCTTGTGCATTGTCCGCTGGCTGTGGTGCAAAACCTGCTCCTAATAAACTTTGGAAGGGGGGTAGCAGTCCCATCGTATGTTTCCAGGGCTTTCCGAGCCACTTCCAATTTGCGTCGTTTTTATTTCTCTCCACAGCTCTCCATGTGCAGAGAGGGGGAAGGAGGGAAAATAAGGGGGCAGAAGCTCCTCTGCAGAAGGTGATTATGAGAAAGAGGATGGGTATGGACGGGGCGGGCCCGAGCTTTTGGAACCGCTCTCCCCTTTTCTGAGAGCATCTGCCCGGAGACGAACAGATGTGGGCACCTGCGGTGACAGGCCACATATGCTCCATCCTATTCACAGGCATTCAGACACGGCCACAATGGTGAGGCTTTGTGCGCGCGGAGTCACCAAATATATTAATCTGTGCTCCCCAGAGCACCGCTCTCTTTAATTTTTTTTTTCCCCGGCAATAACATCTGATCTAATCCTTCCACCAGCTCCCCCCTCACCCAACCCCCCGAAAAGATGTGGAGTTATTCAGCTCCCCACCTGTTGCCGGTGGGCTGGCAGGGGGCTGCGCTCCCGCCCGGCCTGCCGCCGGGCCCTCAGCCCGGGCTGCGCCCCGGGGGAACGGGGGTTCCCCTCCACCGGCAAGCCCCCCAAAGCCAAGCCAAGCCCCCCGCTCCCTCTGCCCCCGGTCCTGCCCAGCCCCCCCGCCACGCTGCCCCCGGCCGCTTTGTTCCCCAGCGCCGCTCAGGGGCCACATAAATCTCCCATGTACGACTCGGAGGTTTTCAAGCAATTTCGGTGCACCAAGCTTTCATCTCCCCACGTCCCCGCCCCCCCCCCCCCCCCGGACGGGCTTTTTGGTGGGGG